AGAATCCCAAGCAGGATCTGGCTGTCAGTGGGGCTCAAACCCACAAACCATGAGATCATCACCTGAACCGGAATGAAGGGTTGGATGCTTAACTGACTGAGCCACCCAGACGCCCCATTCTTAGAGTTTCTTTGAACACTGAACACATACATACTCTATGGCCTAGTACTTTAATTCCTAGCTATTTACCCAAGAGAAATAAAGGTATTTGCCCATAAAGATTTTCACGATAAAGCTCACAACAGGTTTATTTAGAATACCTCAATAACTGGAAACAGCCTAGGTATCCACCATAATCAGAATAAATATATTGATATATTCATACAAGGGCATATTACTCAATAGTAAAGAGGAATAAATTACACTTATACGGAAAAACAAACTTCAAAAATATCTTGAGTGAAAGACATTTCACTCAAAAGAGTTTACATCCTACATTTTTCTTATATGATGTTCTAGAACAGAAAAAACTGAGCTAGTATGAAAAAAATCAGGACAATGACTGCCTTTCTAAGGATAGTGGCTGGTATTGACTGGGAAGAGGCATGCAGGAACTTTCTGAACTGATGATAATGTTTTACATCTTTGAGAGGGATTTACAAAACAACAGGTTACACATTTGCCCACATTCGTCAAAGGGTATACTTAAGAATTGAGTGGTTCACTGTGTGCTAAGTTTTACCTTAAAAAAAAAAAAGAACCACAAAAAAATGTTACATGATGAAGTGTTAAGCCATGAGGTGTACTAATGTCTGTAGCTTACTTGGCATTGTAGCTAAAAAAAAAAAAAAAAAAAAAAAAAAAAAAAAAAAAAGATGAACTGACAGATGAACAAAGGAACAATTAGATGCATAGATATAATAAAAGTCAATATGTAGATAATACTGTAAGTATGGTAAAATGTTCACTGTAGAATCTAGATGGCAGATACATGGTGTTAACTATACAATTCTCTTAATATTTTTGTTACGTTTGAAAATTTTTCTAATAAAATATTAGAAAGAAATCGTTATCTTGCTTTATCCAGAAGAAATCTGTTACGAAAGTTTCAGTAGAAGTCATTAAGTATGGTCAAGCATAAATTGGTTGTTTCTAAAAATCTGAATGATGAGCAAAACAGAGCACATTTTCCAGATCTCTGAAACAAACTCAACAAGCCTTTCTCCGCTCTGCATCAGAAAAACAAAACAAAACAAAACAAAACAAAAAAAAAAAAAAAAAAAAAAAAAAAAAAAAAAAAAAAAAAGGAAAAAGAAAAAAAATTATCACTGACCTTTTTTCTTTTCCTTTGCTTGGTTTTAGTCAAGTCTTGTCCAGCACTCCCATTCCCAAGGGATCCTGCTGTGGTTTTCCCTGAGTGCTGTGACCCAGATGATGGGGCTGTTGGTGTGGGAGGAGGTGTGGTCTCAGGAGATTCTGGGTAGGACTTCATGTTAGACCCCTGCCCAAAGAGATTTATTTGGTTTTGAAATCAAGTGACCAGGACTTCTACTGACATTCAATTTGGTTGAATACCTCCTGAATTCAATACTTCTTGAGGTTTACAAATATCAAAACACAAGGTATGATCATCTAGTGCACAGAAATGGTGCCCTGTCTTGCCCCTGAGAGTCTAAATAGTCTAAATTTTTAATCTGTCTGATCAGCTTAATCTTAATCTGTCTACTACAGCTTCTGAAATTTCTGTTGATTCGGTCAGATAGAGAGATTTCTACTTGGAGGTTCTGTCAGCATGTCAGACTTACATGTCTCAAAAGGCACCTCTGAAGTCCCCCCCAAACCGGATGCTGTCCAGACGTGATTTGTATCAGTGTGACCAGCCTTCTACCAGTGACTCAAACTCAGTGCCTGAGGGTCACTGTAGATACCTCTAGCTCCTTCCATTTCTAGTTCCTTCCTTCTTTCATAATATCCCTCATTTCTATCTGGTTTCTTTGGCCATGACTGCAGGTCTGTTCTCTCTTCCATGTGGAAGTGCTTCAAATGTTTGAGGACTGTCACTTTGCATAGCCTCTTTTCTTTTATAGGTCAAATTAGCTCACATTCCTTCAACCACTTATTTCAGGTTCTTTCACCCTCTAATAACTCTCCTTTAGATATCCTCTACTGTGTCAATGTCCTTCCTATTGGATGGTACCTAAACACTGAAACTAAACACAAAAATTTCTTTATCAGTAACATCACAATATTAGCTCCTAAGAAATGTACAGGCCAATAAAAGCCTAGAAGTTTTTTTTTTTCCAGATATGGTATTATTAGTCCACATTTTCTTTATCCCACCACCTATACTAACCATACTATCTGCTGGCCTACACTTCTCCATGTTTAAAAAAATTAAGCTAAACTTTGTAAAATGTTTGGCTGAAATGCATGTATCGGTTTCAGAAATATTTCTTTGATTTGGCTGCCTAGGAACATTACCAAACAAGAAAGAATAAGGCTAATTTGGCATGAGTTGGTCTTAGGAAAAACAAGGTAACTCCTAGAGATCTCTGCTTGCTTGCATAAACCATATGTTAGGGAAAAAAAAACCTTAAAAATTAACTTCAATTCATATTAAAGATGCTAATCTGAGAACCCAAGCATAACTAGTTTGGTTCCTTATATGCCTAGTGTTCAAGAATGTCAGTCATTAAAATAGAATGTATTATGTATTAACTCCATACCTTGAGAGCTTGATTCCAATCCAAAGCACGTAGCACCTCCATCTGGATCTTCCTAAAACACCCATTTGAACTCATCACCCTTTAGGAGCCAAGAACCCTTCAACTCTTCCTTAACTCTAAGAGCCTAAGGCTTAATCTTCTAATCAGACCTCCTCCTCTTCCTCAATGAATCCTTTGCTTGAATATTTTAATCAGCTTTGTTTTTCCCTTCTACAATTATACCTATGCTGCCTCTGAGGCCTAGAATATTCTCCCCAGTTTTACCATCTTGTCAAAGTCCTATCTTCCCTCAACACCAGCTTCCTCTCTGAAGTCTTCTCTACAGTCAGGGATTGTTTCTACCTCCATGCTTCCTGTCTTTGGCACTCATTTGGAAATTAGCATATGCAATCTCAAATTGTCTGTTTGCTTGTTCTTCATTTCCTTGTTTGTTTTACAGAACACAGATCATACCAGTCTTTGGGGTTCCCCTTTGTACCCAATTTGTTAAAAAGCCCTTTAAAGCAGGCCCTTGATGTTGGTTGCTCGTTTGTAACACTGATGAGGAAAAATCCTACTTTAGAGTGGCCATTCTCTGTGTTTTGTCAGGTAATAAAGGGCAGGAAGATTTCCAGTCCCTCTGAATGTTCATTTTGACCACCAGTCACACAGGAGGAGGGGTGTCTGGATGGCCAGGGAAACGCTTGAGGCTTTGCTAACATATTTAGTCAGGATGCTTTCCGACACTCACGCTCCCACCTCCCAGAGAGCCCGGGAAACCGAGCACACACAGGCCATTTTTCTTAACTACTGGGTAGCTGGGAGCAGCAGCTGTGGTTGCTGAGCGGTTGCCCAGGGCAGCTTGGCCACCCTGGAGAACCAAGAAAGAAGGGAAATAAAGAGTTTTCCTAGCCATGCAAGCAATCCCTTGAATGTTAAGGGAAAACTAGGCTTGTTATGTTCACTGTAAATTTCTTCAATTAGAAATGTTACAACAAATTTGTCTGATGTTAATGAAAAGCATACTTATACACATATTCATAAAGTGAACGTGTACCAAAGATATTTTTAAAGGGTGTTCTTTGACATCGTAATTTGGGTTTGTAACGTAAAGAAAACAAAGTGTTTAATCAACTGAGTAAGCTTTAGGGACTTTTAAAGTATGATGACTGATAATGATGTATGATCTTTTCTAAGGAAAAAAAAAAAAGGATTTGTAATGGGCAAAAACACTTTAATTTCTACTTGGATTCCAAGCCAATCTGATCCTCCAAGGGGAATAAAAAGATGTCAATCTTCTGACGGATAGTAAGATATATAGGCATATATATTTATATATTTTCTAAGCATCCAAGAGCAGAGATGCTTAAACTTGGGGTCCGTAGGGTTCACAGATCCCTTAGAGCCACAGAATGGTTTCAGAAGGTCTTTGAACACCCTGAACTGTATACAAAATTTGTGACTATGTTTACGGGGACAGGGTTTATAGTTTTTGCCAAATTCTCAAAGGGGCTTAGCCATTTTCAGGTTATGTATTTCACCCAACTTGATCCAAAGCTCACTTCACAACTATACATGTAGATGTTAACCTAACCTCCTTGCTGCCTTCTATCCGGTTATTAAATTGAATTATATGAAATTGCTGTTTGTGCTAGTAAAAAAAAGTTACATATTAGCAAATTCATTCAATAGATAATACCACATTTCTGGTTTGCAGGTATATGCTGCTTACAGAGAATCTTCATAATAAGAATGGTACACAGTTATTGCACAATGTCTTAAAGTCTGGCAAGATTTTATAGTCCCCTAAGTGGGGGTCCCAGCCACATAAACTGGATATGAAAGGATGTGATCCTCACATGACAAGGGCCAATCTGAACACAGAGAATAAGTGGAGCCATGCTTCTTTAAATCATGTTTAGAGCTGGATCAATAACTGGGAAGTAAAATTATCAATAAACATTGGGAATTATTAGGACACGAATAATAGTGATCGTCTCATTTCTGAGGCGCAAAGAAATAAAGAACTATTCTCAACATTGTTCAAAGGCCCAAACCGGTTGTTCACCTCCCATGGAAACGAGGTGAGGTCTACAACTATCCCTCTTTCACTGCAGGGCTAGGGAAGCTAGATAAGGCAAGAAAAAGGTGAGCAAATAATTGTATTAAGTGGCCTGTTAGGGCCTGGAACATAGTAGGAACTCAGAAAATCTCTGTTTGAAAGTTGAGTGTGTTCGGATTCCTGACTGAAAGCTATACATTCCTACATTGTCTTTTTCAAAGAATTACTACCGTAAACACCAGGCATGAGAAAAACCCACAGATGTGTCAAAGACAGATTTTTTTGCTACTCACCTCAGCAGAGTTGTGATACTGAATGAAGGTTGCAGAAATGGCATGGCTGAAGGGGTCTCCTGCCTTGGTTACCATGTCCTGCCTCACAAGAAGAGCCAGGTCCACTAACTAGATCAGAGTAATGAAAAGAAGTCACATCACTGGAAAGAAGGACCAATGTCAATGCAGTGGCAATACTAAAAACAATCCATTTCAAATGTTACTGATCATACGGTGAGCCTAAAAATCTGTACTGTGCACATGAGCATATGCTTTCATTGACTGGAAAATGGACCTATCCATGAATAGAAATACCATAAGAAACTCTTAAAAACTGATAATAAACTGAGGGTTGATGGCAGGTGGGAGGGAGGGGAAGGTGGGTGATGGGCATTGAGGAGGGCGCCTGTTTGGATGAGCACTGGGTGTTGTATGGAAACCAATTTGACAATAAATTTCATATTAGAAAAATGAAATGAATAAACTGGTTAGATATGCTATATTCTAAACTGTGCTTTTATTCTATCAAGAGTACGGATGATTTTTATCCAGTAAAACATAAATGCAATTTAATGCAGCAGGCCGAATTTATTGAATAAACATGTGCTATTGAAAAAAAAAAAAAGAAACAATATATTCTGACTTTCTAGGGGAGTAGTTCTCAGATTGTATTTAATAATCACTAGGGGAAGCATTTTAAAATAGAGATTTCTGGGCTCTAGATACCGAGATTTGAATTTGGTTACGTTTTATTTTCTTGTACTAGTTTCTTTTATTTTTTAAAGTTTATTTATTTATTTTGACGGATTGAAGAGGAGCAGAAAGAGAGGAAGACAGAGAGAATTCCAAGCAAGCTCTGCGCTGTCAGCACAGAGCCCGACGTGGCGCTCCATCTCACGAACCATGAGATCATGACCTGAGCCGAAATCGAGAGTTGGATGCTTCGACTGAGCCTCCAGGGCGCCCCTCTGGGTTAACATTTTAAACAAGCAGCCAAGAGAGGCTGATGCTTGTGGTCAAAGGACCATGCTTTGATTCTGGACTCAGGTTTTGGTAAGCACTCAGTAGACTGTACATAACTAGAAAGGTATTTCTCAAAGCTCAAAAATAATCTCTAAACAAGGTAGATGTGTCCTTAGAATTCAAGGTTGAGAAAAAGTATGCAGGGATACACAACTTCGGGTTAGGATCAAGTTGTAACAAACAGGCACTTTTACCCTAACACCCACCTGAGTTGAGGATACAGAGAAACATAACTGAAGGAAATTTCATAAAATGGCAAGATTGCCAAAGGATACAACTCATGGCTGTTCTCATTCCTGGAAGAGTAGCAGTAGAGGACCTGATCATGGACAGGGATTAGGAGAAAGCAGTCATGAATGGCCCGCTAGGCCAGATATTATAATTCTTACCTGTGCCACAGTTTCATATGCTAAATATGCTAAAATTTCCATAGCGACAACATTGGGTTTTATCTCCATACTGCTGCAGTCCAACCAGTCTCGAAATTTGGAGGCTTTTTTGGCTAGCCATCAAAAAAATAAATATCGAAAATTTAATTTTTAAAGTGTTTTAATACTTCATGTTACCATCACAAAATGGAAATTACATTTGAAAAATAATGCATCTAAAACGCTATGTTTTCGAAGCCCTAATGATAGTGTCGAGATATTCAAGCCCCGAGAAATTCCTCATGCATTTGGGTCTTTGCATTTTGTATCCGTGCTACATAACACAGTACACGAGATGACTTAATGTTCAGACCTTCTCACAGTGTCAGAATAAGTCACCGTTGGCCATAGCTCATGTATTAACAATAGTCAAAGGGGTCGCTTGATTGTAACTTTAATTTATGCTTGTGGAAAGAAATTCCTGCAAGAAAGAACCTGTGATTAAAAAAAAAAAAAAAAAAAAAACGGGAACGTACAGAAATTGTATTTGCGATACATTTCAAAATGTGTCTATTACTGGAACAGGCTCAAAGTCACAAATTCAGAATAAAATAGAAAAAGTTTATGCCTGCAGTTACAGAATAAAATAGAAAAAGTTTATGCCTGCAGATGTCCAAATTCTTAAGCCTGACTTTCCAAACCTCCAGACTGATTTCAGCCTGTCTTTATACCAGTGCCTACTGAAATGCCACCTGGCCTTGAGTCAACCCTCTCTCTGTTCACCCCGGCTCCTTTCCCTCTGTGGAATGCATCCCACCTCTCTTCTTCACTCACACGGATCCTGCCTGCACTGTGTACTTCCCCACACAGTCATTTACTGAACACTTATATCATCAGATACCCTTTCATGTCCGCTTATCATTTCTGAAACCGTATCAGAAGATTTTCTGCAGGCAAACACCATGCATCAGGTCTCTCTCTCTGCATCCCTAACGGTACCAAGCGCATGAGGAACCTTCCGGTAAAGATCTCTAAACTGCCACAGTCCGAGGCAGAGTCTAACCTGACATAGGGCTTTTATTAGATATTACTAATTTAACCAGTAATCAACAGGGAAGAGAGTGATGGTAAAGAAATCTGTGCCGATTATTCTTTTGGTTAATCTGGTCCCACGGGTCTATTAAAACCCTTAACGGTCACTCAAAGCATGATGTTTGGATCCTTACAGATACAGGCTTCATGAATTCCACATACAGAAGAGTTTTCTTGTAAATAAATCACAGAAGACATGAAGTCTTGCTATCGAAGTGTATATCCAAAGCTGTCAACTGTGGCAGAATTATGATAATCCCCTCAAAACTATCTCCCCAAAGTAACCAATCTTCCACCTACTCTCTGACATGCAACATTCCATCTAACTAGCGAGCTGCAATAGCTCCCAAACACTTGTGTAACATCTGTGGAATACTTCTGAAGTTCAAGTTAACAGGCAGCAATTTGGCAAAATCAATAAAAGGTACCATATTCACTTCTCTCTTTGACAGGTTGTTAGGAACACAGAAACAGGTATTTTGTGACTATGCTCTAAGTGATTTAAGAGAGGGAAGGGATAATTCCCAGTATTCCATCAGATCCGTCCACCCAAGCAACAGAATTGGTGGCTTCCTCACTAGATTTTAAGCTCTGAGAATGCAGGGATAAGGACCATGTGTCCACCCTGTATCCCCAGCACCTAGAATACGAATAGTGCCTGGCATCAGCAGACTCAAAATAAATATTTCTAGATAAAAACTGAATGAACAAATGAATGAAAGATGATACTTCTTTAAAGGGTAGGGTCTCAACTTTTCCATGTCCAAAAGGTGCACAGAGGTCCCATAAAACCACTGTGGGTTACTGCTATTCCAACAACAGGTGAAGATTCCCTGAGAGAATTCCCTCCCTGAAGGATGGCTTCAGCGACAGACCTTCCCAGGGTATTGCTGGGAAATACCAGCAAAAGAGGCACAGATACCCCCAGTCATGACAGTTTTTTTCCATCGAGAGGTGGGGGGCACCAGAATGAATGAGTTCCTTCACCTTTACTCCTCTTCTCAATGTATCAGGAGAAAGGGTAATCATGGAAATTGATCAACAATTTCAACAGAATCCTGAACAAAGGTCAGAAGTTCCTAGGATTATCAGTCTTCTGTGCTGGAATTAAAATAACTTCATACGGGGAATTTAAGATGAGTTAATTCTCATACACATTTTTATCTTTCTCATCATCGATCACTAGAAAAATTCAAGTTTCTCTCAATATCCCATTCTTGCATCCCTGCATACTATCTCCTTATTTCTACCCCAACCGTCTCCCAGTCTTGCCATTCTGATCCTTCCCTTAGTGCCCCCTCTAATGCTCACTGCACTCTGAAGAAGTTCTGCGACTTCAATCTCTTCAAAGTTACTGCTACTTGGATTAATTGAAAATAATCCTCCTCAGAAGGCCTGGTCCTCCCTGGAATCTTCTGTAGTAGAGATTCCTTCTTTCTTTCCTCCTGTACATATACACTGATCAGCCACAGACTGCCAGCCTCTTCATTTCCCCATATACCAGAGCACTGGGAGGTCAGACCTTCATTCTCTTAGTTTCTCCGACAGGGAAAACACAGGACAAGTGGACAGAGACTTCTTACCAACAACAGAGGCTAAAAGACAATGCTATCCTGTTTTAACAAATAACTACTAGCCCACAATTTCCTACCCGACTAAACTACCACTTAAGGATGAGGGCAAAATAAAGCATTTTTAAGACAAAAATGAGTGCTTTAGGCTCTCACAGAGCCTTGGGAAAAACAAAATTAGGCTGAGAAGGAATGTTTACTAATGATCAACTTAAAACATTTAAGTCCAGGATGCATATTAAAAAATTAAGGATAGCAACTAGGATAATAGAAAGAGAATATACACTATACAAACTGTTTGAGGAAACATGGAGTGAAGAAAATCTAATTAATCTGACAGAACAATGAAAAGGAGAAGGAAAAGCAAAATAAAAAAGTAAATTTAAAGCACAAAGACAGCATATATAAACCCAACAGTATAAGTAATTAAACACACATACGTTAAAATCATCAATTAAAATACAAGGAGATTCTCAGATTGACTAAAAAGAAAATCTACGTATTTGTTTACAAAATTCATATATGAAACAAAAGGTTGAAAGGGAAGGCTTGCAAAAAGATTTATCAATTTATAACTAAATTTAAGCTTTGTGAACTAACGTTCATATCAGATGTTAAGACTTTAAGGGAAATGACTATCTAACTTACATAAATATAAAAACCAAAGTGTTGGTGAATTTGATCAGTATCCCAATTCTGCAACTTACCTTCAGCCTAAAAAGTTATACTTGTTAATTTAAAAATGCATCCGTAGTCCCAATCAGTGAATGCCAAGATCAAATATTTAAGAAGACACATACAGCTGGATCACAATTCCTTTATCCTGGTAATTTATCAGAAGGGTAGAAATGAAAAAAGCCTACCATTCTGACCAGTGTGGGTATTAGTTCTAAATGTGCCGACCCACCTGGACTAAGCATTCCCAACCACAGCACTCTGGCATATAAAACAGAGTCTTCCACTAAGGTTTCATAATGAAGCACCTATGGGCATCATATGAAGAAATATTTTTAAATGCCCAAATCCATCTTCTTTAAAAAAATTAAGCATAATATTATGTCTAAGCTATAAGTATATTCTACAGAAAGGGAAAATATTCATTATTACTGAGTTACAAACAAAAAACTGAGTTGTTAAAAGTCCGATTTCCAAACATAAGATGTATTAGGACGCTCCGGTGGCTATCTGTTTTAGTGTGAAATAGCACGTCTGTTCCTTTAAGTGAATTAAATTTAAAATATGATTTTAAAAAATAGTTCAATAGCACTAAACGTTACTTTATAAACTGGAGATTTATACTTATAAAAGACTTGAATGCCATTTTTAAACCTAAAAATTACAATACAAAAACCTCTCATTTGCTGAAATTGCCATGATCTGAAGTGTCATTTACTTAATGCTTCACAGATGTAGGATGCCAAACTGTTAGTCAGACTGCAAAGTATATTTAGTTAGGACAAAAAAGCTCCCAAAACATGTTTTCCTATATTTTACTGACATTTACATGGGACACTGTTGGAAATGTGTCATTTATTTGTACTTGATGATCTAGAAATGAAGCTCTCATTTTCTTTTTTCAAATCAAATGCATTGTTATTATGACCACAGAACAGTTTTTCCATTTAAAGACACCATTGTGTCTATGATCCCTCAGACCAGGGTCATGTGCTATTCTGTCAGATTTTTAACCGGACTTTTCATCACACTTACTCTTTGACCTTTCCCCCGAGAGTCTTAGTCATGGAACTGTTGTGGTGAGGATGTCTGCTGCACAATTGAGCCCGCTATGTATCACGAGCCTTTCTGTACTTTTAGTAAGCTTGTGTGCAATGACGGGACAGTACTTAATTTATCACTAGGTTATTAGTGTTACAAGAGCATGGACTAATGAATTTGGCTCACACTGAATGCCTGTTACAGCAGGGGGTTACACACAAAAATGGAAGAGACTATTGATACGTTCCTTTGGGGTAATAAGAGTATGCATAAATAAATGGAAAGCCTGGTATTTATTAATATTGGGGGCTCTTAAATGTCATGACTGTGCTACTCCAGTCCATTGTGGGTCAAGTACAATCAGCAATACTAGTGTAAATACGACTAAGAAACTGGAAAAGAAATTAAAGTGGGAACGTTAAAGAAAATGGAATTTTTCTGACTAAAAGTAATGTGAATAATTAACATGGCTCTCTGTATATTACCAGCACCCTTTAAAACCTCTTAAGACTATTAATTACCAAATAGTAGAGTGGGGTAAAATCTTTTATAGACTCCCCTACAATGCAGGGGTTGTTTCTGTAATAGTTATAACTATGCATATATTAAATTCACCAATTTCTAAGGAACGGAGATTGCGTCATACTTTAGTGTATCTGTAACACATAATCTCTTAAACATATAATGAAGCAAAATTAAACATTTACTTACAGAAACTTAATTGTCGACTTTCACAGAATTCTGCATATTGAGCTGAATCCATAATTCGAGTTTGCCTTTCTGCTCTCTAACAGATAAAGAGACACACAAACAATGTTTCAGGGCAAGTAGACCACTGTCTATGTTTTCTTGGCTAAAACGCAGAAATGAAATTCCATTTTTCTTTCTTGACTTTAAGTAAACAGTTTAGTACTACCATAAATATCATGATACATAAAATTATGTTAAGTTAACTGTAGTTTTGAAGCTTGTGTCTTTTGGAAGTTTAAAATACCATTTTCTTCTCCTCTGTTATTGTCATTATAGCCGAAGGAAAAAACCCTAAAGAATCTTACTTCTTAGATTGTGTACTTCTACATTTTCTTAATCACCATCCATCTAAGGAAAAACCGTGAGAAGATGATAACAAATCAAACAGAAAAACTGTTAATCATTATTGCCCAACTATTGCCATAGAGCTGGGGATTTGCAATGTTAAAATTGGAGTCAATGAATGGAATCCATATAGTTTCCCTCAGAACACAGAGCCAGAGCTAACAAATCCATATTTTAAACTGCAAAGAAAATAAAGAAAAAGGTAAACACAACACAAAACCTTTAATCTGAGTCCAGGTATGATTCACAGTTTGGTAGAGTTTCATTCGTGGGTTTTTGATTCAGTATAGCAGATGTTTGCTGCTTCATTGTCCCACAAGAGGTAGGATAATTATAATTCACCCATAGTTCGGTGGGAAAGAATATGACCGCTTCCGCTTCCTTGGCAAGGGAAGCATTTTGAAATGAGACAGGCTGGTACTTCTTGGAATGAGATTCTGGCCAGTAAAGGAAAAAAATTCCCTGAGATTTTAATTTTTTTCTGCTTTGGAAGGGCTCTCAGCAAGTTTTCTTTATCACAGTTGGGAGTACATAAGTACCACTGCTAACGTCTGGATGTTTTTATATATTTTTTTAAACTGAAATTACTGTTTTTTCATTTTGTTTGATTTGGGTAGTGGTCAACTGAATTCTGATGATGTATCCTGTTGATGGGACGAATAATCGTGTACTAATGCTGCTCCATGCAGAAAAGACAGATGGGGTGGTGGGAGTTAAGGTAAAATTCACCAACTCCTGTGGTTCTAAGACCACTGACTTTTTCCCCCCTTGCTTCTCTTTTTCTTTTCTTTCCCTCTCTTCTTTCCTTCCTAATCTCTCCTGACCCCATACATACAAACACATATACGTGCTGACATAAACCCAGACTTCTTTATTTACCCTCTAGGTTCAAGTATCCTTTTTGAACATGTATTAATAAATAGCATGCACACATTATGTACATTATGTGCAGTGCATATCTGAAACATTATGTTTCCTTAAGGATGTATTATTGGGTGAATTTTTCAATACTTAGAAGTATTTTTTGATATGTGAATGCATGATTTGGTTTTGTCCTTTTTAGCGTACCTGACACATGACTCAGTAAATGTTTGCTAATGGACAGTAGGAAATAAGGGAGAATTTTGAATATAAGGTGTTTATTAAAAAAAAGGTTCTAAGGCATAACGCTGTCAGTGTCTGACTATACATTTGTATTTCTAGCTCCGAGAGAATTTCTGACCATGACAATTAAACAATGAAACCTCCGTGAAATGAACAAATGCTACCATTTTAGCCTACGATCAGGGCAAATGACCATCATCGCCATGATGCGGCTAGTCCTTGATTATCTACGCATTCCTGTATGTCTTCTCTGCTGCTCTCCAGCTAGGCAGCTTCATCCACCCAACACATGCTAAACAGAAAGGACTTAGATAAATAATGGAAAAAGAAAATTCCTAATGGGATTCTTAACACTAACTTTCCTTCCACCAAGCTGGACAATCAAGATTTGGTTTCTCTATAGATGCTTGCGTGGTTGATCATTAAGCATCTGAATATGTATTCTTGGAAACGGAAGTTAGGAACACTCATCCTAAGGGGCTCAGGCTTCCAGGGTTGTGGGCTTTAATCAAGCCAGGCATTTGATGTAAGATCCCGAGCTACATTTAAAAGACACTGGAGGACTTCCAATTATTACAGCTAGCGTCGATTCCTTTCGGACACCTGATTCACGGTCTATTGTCTTTTTTTCATCAAGTATCTTAAGTTTGCTTTCAATTCCTCTAGCACTGAAGCTTTAGAGCCCCATGAAGCTGACCCTTGGCCTTGAGCAGAAAGCCACCGACCAAGTGCCCAGCATACAGCACACGCTCAGGAAAGAGCAGCTGACTTAACAGCAAAGATGCACAGGCACTACAAAACCAAGGCATCTCAGAGCTGGAGGATGACTTCAAGTTCACCTTGTTCAAACCCCCTCATCTTAAAGAGAAGGAAATTGAGGCTCAGAGAGAAGTGATTTGTCAAAGGTCATCAAGTTAGAACTGCAGGCCTGGACTGCCAATTCCGGAGCCAGCCTATTTTCATTATAAGAAGTTGTCTCCAACCTACAGTAATGGTGTTACTCCAATATTCTTCTTTGGAATCCTCTAAAGTCTATACATTCCCTTACTAACCCATATCATGTGGCCACCATTAGTAATGTGCTCAAAGTGCTCATGCCCAAATACAATTAAATAAGGTCCTGGGTCAGCAAAGAAGGCATAACCCGGGGATAATCAAGTGCAGAGTGTTCAAACTGTAATGAACCTGATAGTGCACAGGTGTGCTGCAAACACATCACAGGTGTGCAGACATCCTGTTTTCCCCTCAACCTTCTAAATGTGCAGGAGGCTGAGGCAGCAGAACCCCCAGGCCGGTATCTGGTTGTAAGCTGCCTTGTCCATTTACCACAGTGTGGCATAAAACGATCACTTTCCACGTGTGCCGTGACACGAAAGAGGGTGGGAAGCAGTTGTACTAAAACCAATGAATGTCCCTGAATGTTACGTGACACAGCGCATGTGTGCTATTCACAGAATGGTCAAGCGAGCTCAAAATGAAATCAGAGACACCGACTGGCAGTCCAGGATGCTGAGGATGATTCAGATATGCTCATCACGCTAATTTTCGTCTACTCCTCTCTCTTCCCCATGAGTTATTTCAAATAAACTGAAAGAAAGGGACAAATGTGGCCTTATAAAAGGGCCCAAATCTCTCACATCTCATTATATTATCTCTGGTCTATACACTGTCACCTTAAAATCAGGAAAGGTGGTAAATATCTAACCCTCATAGACTCTGTGTTCTTTAAAGATAGTTAACTATGTTTTACTTCTCTAATCTCAGCATTGGTCAGTGCTTAGCTTGGATTTACCTGGATCCCAGTAAATGTCACTGGCTAGCTGCATGGGTGGGCAGGCAGATGGATGGATGGATGGAGGCAAAAGAAATCCATATAAATCCTTGTTGCCTGATCTAAAATCAGGAACTGTTAATATTTGTAATCAAGTTGTCCAAATTCCAGAGAGGGTAGGTGACTTTTTAAAGCCAAAGTCCCATAAAAAAAATCAAGACATTGGCCAACTTATTAAATAAGCTGGCTCCAATTTTCTGTAATGTTCTCATTCCACTTGCCCTTCTGCCTCTATTCAAATCACCCATTGCAATCCACGCTTTGAGTGCACACTGACAGTCCTCTTCTATTCCTGGTACTGTAGGGAATCTCCGGAAAAGATGCAAGAGGGAAAATCATAAGCCCTGTAGAACAGCGTGATCAGAAAAACAATGCTTATTCTGTACAGAGAGCAGCACAATAACCTTTAAAATAAACTGTTGTAAAAGCTCCATTTTTCAGTTGAGGATACTGAGCTCTAGAGAGTAAAAAACAATCTTTTTTTAGAGAAGTAAAAAAAAATAGCTTTTTAAGCACAGAGTTGATAAAGCTAGTAAGTAAAACTTGGGTCCTAGACATCCTCCTGTGAGGTATTATCACTGAACAATCATGGCAGGTTAATCACAGCTTTTATTCATCCTGGATATTCTCAAATTACACAATGTTCTCCTGATCTCAGACTGCCACATGGACGTAAGGTCATCTGTGGATTAGTCATGCTCTTGTATCTACAAGTCCAATTTGTTTTCTACTTATCTGTCAATTCTACCCAGTCCTTGGTTTATGGTACATACTAGAGGCTTTTTAAGAAATTAGACCTTACCAGTACTACAGTCTAGCAAAATATTCCCATAGAGGGGCATACATGGAAAAATCACTTTTGGAAGAATTATTCCTAACCTTTTCCAAGCACGCAACAATATTCTAAAATTTCATTGGAACGGCTCTTTAAAAAGGTAAGAGAGCATAGTTACGCTAATCGTCATTCATTTCACTACCAAGAAGTTACAGCCTTTGCTGGCTATTGTAAAACAAACTCAGGAGGCAGAATTCCATGCCAGATGAACTCATTTTCTTGGGTCCTACCTAAATGAAAACAGGGAAGCAGATATCCCTACAGATGCAGTAGCCAGTATGGTTCGTTTGCTTGTTCACTACCTTAACAAAACAGGCTCCGAGTATACATTTGTTAATTTAAATTTTCAGTGAGGAGCTCTCATTTCAATGAACATGAAACTGCTTGTGCCCTGGAAAAATATTTTCAGCAGTGACGATCACCATTTTGCCCCTGTCTATACCAGTTTGAGGTATGAGGCTGGATTACTTACGCAGCATACAGTTTCATTTAAATTCTCCGCGTGCATTCACTGAAGCATCCATAAAGGTTAGAGAAACTATGTGCTGGCATATCTCTTGGCGGCTTCTCAAGACACATGACATTTATCTTTCTCCAGCGATACAGAATCACAGAGCATAACTTTGAAACCAAGATGAAAGTTTATCTGCTCTCACTTCCACCTTGGATTTTTAAAAAAATCTTAACTTTGATTACTCTTAGAAGTCTTACCATTGAAACGCAAAGGCCTTTCTGCATGGAAAAGGCGAAGTGCCAATAGCCACTACCAACTACCTCATGTTAAACAGGAATTGGTTGCTGAATTTGAAAACCGCAAATGGCACGGCGGGCAGTAGAATCCAGCAATGTGAAAACATGCAGCTTGTGGGATGTGTATGCGTGTTCATGTATGTTGTGGTTCATCTGCAGAATGACATGAAGA